GGCTGCTCTGTTTTCCTAGCTGCCTGAGCTGCTGAACCCTCCACCTGCTCCACCAGTAGCAGAAAGGCAGGATGCCTTGCAGAGCACTGCTCTACAGGTGTGTTCTTCTAGAAGACTCTGTTCCCTGCAACAGGGGAGAAAATTCCTGGGAAAGAAATGTGGGGAGGCCCAGAAACATGCCCCGAGCAATTAACTTTTGGATTTGCTATGTACCTGCTACCAGGAAGTCTATTCTTTAGTGGAACAAAAAGATGTTGAGTGACAAGCAGTGGCTGCTAAGCCCTCTTTCCTGTTCCCTCATTTGAGATCCTGGCTTTCCTACCAGGTGATCTGCTCAGGTCTGTTTAGGAAGCAGGCTGTTTTCTGCTCTGGGTTTTTATTCACCCCTGGACTCCACCTGTTCGCTTTTTCAGTACGTCTCAGAGGTGGTGATTGGGGCACCCTACGCTGTCACTGCTGACCTGCTGGATCACTTCAGGGTGAGAATCTGTGCCTGCAGATGGATGTGTAGGTGTTGGGGTGTGATATGCTGAGGGAGCCAAAAAGGTGTGGGGAAACGGGTGTAGGAGAGGAGTGGTCCTGCTCAGCACGGTTGTGGGGGCTTTGGATGCGCAGCCGCTGTGCTGTGATGCAGCGAGTGCAGGGACAGAGAAAGTCCCTGTCGTATTTTGGGTTGTGTCAGTGCCTTTGTGTCCTTCTCCAGGTAACACTTGTGTGTCATGGGATGACAGAGGTGGTGCCAGACAAGGACGGTTCTGATCCCTACAAGGTGAGCTGCTCCCTGCTGCTTGTGCTGCTGTCAGCGCTGGGTAGATACAGGGTGGCTTTCCTACTGCAGAGGAACCAAACAAGTCCTTCCAGGTGATGCTGATTTTACCCCCGAGGGCAGCTACTCAGAGCAGAGCCTGTAAATAATTCACAACAGCCCCATTATTTTAGTCACTGTTTTGTTTTGCCTCTTTCTGATGCCTTTGTGGCAGAATGAGGAATCCTGTCATCCCTGCTCCGTGTCAGTTCCTGTCTAGGTGCAGCTTTGTTTTCCAGTTATTCACTCTGCCTGAGTGGATGGTTTTTTGTGGTGCCAGGACCTTCCATGGCTCCTACTCAGCTCTCCTCACAGAGCTGCACACCTCCAGGTCCTGCCTGGCTTTCACAGCAGGCTCTGGTGGGTTTGCTCACAGGAACCCAAGAGACGCAACATCTTCCAGCTGGTGGACAGTGGCAGCAACCTCACCACAGACCTGATTGTGCAAAGGATCATCCAGAACAGGTTGGCTTCCTTCACCTCCCAGGCTGTCACATCCTGTTTTGTCTTACTGTCACATGCTGTTCTGTCTACCTTGTCTGGGGGCTAATTAATGGGGTCAAATGGGAAGAGAAGAGGTTATCTGAATGCAGAGGCAGTGACCTGGGTCTTTGTCTCTGCAGCTTGGGCTGGCTGCTTAAACCTGGCTGTGCTGGACAGGAAGACAAGCAGCTGAGTTCTACTGTGTCAGCCTGTGCTCCACAGCACATTTCATTGCTTTTCCTCCTCTATTAATGATAACGTTTTCCTTTGTGTATTCTTGGGGACTAGCATATGTGGCTTCTTTTAGAGATTGCTCTTTCAGGCCTGAGCCCTTCACTTTCAGTGGTCATGGCTCAGATCAGTGGTAAATTTGATGTTGGTTTTATGGCACTAATGGAACAGCAGAGTCTTCTGCAGAGGGAGAAGAAAGTATTGCTTGGCCAGTGTGGGAAGCTCTGGGTACTGGCTGTCCAAGAGGAGCCTGGGGGTTATGGAGAGGTTTCTGAAGTGCCCTCAGAACAAAGCAGCACAGGAGGCAATGATGCTTTTAGCCTGCTGGGACATGGATGGACGGGAATCCTACGGCATTTTGTGTTTGGTGCAGGCTGGAGTTTGAAGCCAGGAACCAGAAGAAGGAAGCAAAAGAGTTGGCTGTGCTGGAGGCCATGAAGAGATTGGGCGAGGAGCAGCCCTAGGCCAGCCCAGAGCTGCTGCCCGGGTCGCAGCGCCGCAGCCTCCCGGTCCCGAGGAGCGGGCGGCTCTTGAGGGACCCCGGGGCGGGGGTCCGCCCTCCCCCCCCCCCCCCTC